CGAGCGGTCGCCTGCGCGGGGGAGACACGTCGCCGCTGCTGCCGCTGGAGATGCCCGGTGAGCCTGCGCCCTAGCGACCCGACGACGCGGCAACAGGTGGCGCTGCGGAGCTCTGCGCTTCTATTGGGGTTCTGATACCCGTGCTTTTCATGTGCTCTCCACGCCGCAAGTAGTGTGTAGTTTTCCGACGCCTAGCTGTGCGATGTTGACTTTTCCTGTGCAGTGTAAGTTTTGTGTGCCGGTGTCTAAAATTTCTTCGGAAAGTGTTAACACAATTGATGCATGAAATTAAAAAGCGTGTTTATGATATACAGTTCTCAACCAGTGATGTGTTCGAATTTCCATGCGTTTTGGGTGCATGACGCATTGAATGATGCAGCAGGTGCTCTAAAAGTGTTTATTCAGAAGCGGACTGAATTGCGTTTAAATTGTTCCAATTGTAATATTTCTAAACTTGGCCTTGAAACCGTAATCACTGGTACTAATTTAATGATCCAACGTGAAAATGTGTATTCGTGTGTTAAATCATATTTTAGGATGTTTAAAATTTGGCTTATAATTTTTCACGTAATGGTCTCCGCGTTTCGATATGTTCTGGCTTGATTACTAACGATACAAATTTACGCTGTTTATTTGAACGAAATAAAGTATGAAAACACCTGGGCAGATGCTCTTTGTAATTCTTGTATTGTTTAACATCCTAAGTTACGACGCATCACTGATAATTTGCTGTGTGTGTGTGTGTTTTTTAATACTTCGTATCGTCTTCGTGCCTGCGGTGTCAATGCTCGTCTTGAAATAATTAGGACTACATAGAATATGAAAATATCCAGTAATTTATTATTTATCCGTTCTTACGTTGTGGATCGTGATTAAAAGATTGAAATTCGTGATTAAAATTAAAAACAAAAAGTGCGAGCAGAGTACTGAGAAGGCGCTTCCGCCGGCGGCGCGGCCGGGGTTGCGGGAACGGTGCGCTCAGCGGGATTCCCTTCCTGCTTTCTCATCACATCCGAACGCGCGCTTGCGCTCGCTCGCGCCGACGACGCGGCGTTTGCGCCTTGACGCGGCCGCCGCGCGCCGATGTTCGCGCGTCGAGTCCCGTGCAGGTGGCGGGCCGGCCGCGACGCGAGCAGGTTGTTGGTCGAGGTCGCTCCGTTGCGCGTGCACTCTGATTCTGATTGAGAGGCAGACTTCGCTGATAGGGTATTCGGTGCGTGTGTTCTTTTCCTTGATTTCCGATATCTACGACCCGCAATATTACGCTTTTCAAATATAGTGGGCGCTACTACAAGGTTTCAAATCGCTGGCTGCGTTACTGGTTGCTGGACTGGAAATTCGTCTGTGTAGGTTGTTTGGTCGTAGTTTTACGGTTAATTTATCCTAACATTACCTTATAATTTTTTAATAGTCGAACTGGTTAGAGAGCTTAGTGGTAATTTTCCTTTTAATACGACGCAAAGGCCTCTTGAAAATTATCACATCGCATGACATTAGCTTTATGTCCGGTCGTTAGTTTGATGTGTGGAAATTGGAAATTTTCTTTGATCCGTGTCCTAGGCAACGGCCTCTTGGACACATCTGTGCATCCCATTGAGCCATTGCATCCCCTTCCCTTCCCTTTCCAAGATGGTCTGCGGAGCAGGCGACTAAGGAGCGCGTTTTGTGTGCAGGTGAGATCGCAGGGGGCTGCCGCGGTCGCCGGGGAATGAAACTGCTGCCGCTGACGCTGCCTCCCGTGGGCGCCATGGACCGCCTGCCGCTGTCGCTGCCCTTCAGCCCCACGGACCTGCTGTGGAGGTACCCGCTGGGCTTCCCGGCCGCGACGCCCACGCAGCCCGCGTCCACGCCCGCGTCCCCGGTGCTGGACTTCAAGACGCACCTGCCCAACAGCCTCGGTAAGCGAACACACGACGTGCACTCACATGCTTCACGCTTTTCATCCAAGTTACTTGTCGGACAAAACATTGGTGGTTAATTTTTTTTTGGGGGGGGGAGGATTCTTAAATATTCATAATACAGTAAATTGGAATTAATTTTGTACCCTTCAAATTTGACATTCGTGAATATAAACAGCCTATCTTATGTCCCGTTCTGAATTTTTACTACGAGATTCTCGGAGGGACTTCGAATAATTGTGGGAGTGTTAATAAATGGTAGTAGCCTAAATTTATTAAGAATTGATAGTTCAATGTTTGAAGGATTTTTAACCTTATTTTATTTTTCTTGCTCCAATTCAAGCTTTTCTTAATATTTTTGTACTACGCGCGCTTTCGTTCGCTCAGCAGGATTTCTTTGTAGTTGTTCCACAATTTTTTTTTCTGTTAACTTTCGTCGTTCGTTTTCTTTGCTACTCTAAGTTTATCCTTTGTGTCTCCGTTCCTTCTTTTTGTCGACATTCCTTTCTCCGAGCGATGCTCCTGTTTCTGGTTGGCTGCGTGTTTTTTAATCAATGCTCTCTCATTCTTTCCAACCTGTCTCCTGTCGTGACTTGGATGTTTGCATCCTGTGTATGAGTGTTTACTTTCTCTTATCCTTCCATCCTTACACATCTCAAAATTGGAACATTATTTCGAACTCCGCTTAGCAGAGCAGAGAAAATAAACTATAAAATTTATTTTGTTGCTGTTAATGTTCTCTGCATTGAGAAGCGTTAATAATGTTTGGGCAAGTGTGCGGGTGTATTTACATTGTAAAATGTCCATGTCATTAGCAATGCCACCCAATGCCCTCTATATCTTCCGCCTTGCCCTTAGCCCTGGTCTCCTTTCTCATTTCGGCTCCTCCCCCTCTTCGCCCCGAGCTCTCCGCGCCGCCTCGGGTTGCACCAGTGACCGCGAGCTCTTGTGTTGCAGCGTCGGACCCCCGCGTGTGGTCGCGAGAGGACGTGACTACGTTCCTGCGGTGGTGCGAGCGAGAGTTCGACCTGCCGCACTTCGAGATGGAGATGTTCCAAATGAACGGTGAGTTCCTGATGATTGCTGTGTAATCAGCAAGGTGATAACTCATTGCGAAATCTTGATCATTCACGAAAATTTCTATGAGTAGGTTCGAGCATTTGACGTATTCTTTCTGTTTTTAAATCGATTTTTTGTTACCGAAAACTAGTGGCTAATTATAATATTGCAATAACTCCCCCGCTTCTTTCGATTTCTGTAATATGAGCCAATTTTCTTAGTTTTCGCATTTGTCGTTGCGACTTGTTAGCCAACGCAGAGAGGAAACTCAGTTGAAGTGATTAAGTAGATAAGATATGCCCGAAGAGACTGGGCGCTCGTTGGATAGCCATAGTACTAGGAAGTCTCAGCTTAGAGAGTTCTGAACCTGGACTTTATTATCTGTGTTGCTATACAAAAGAGACATCATTGCCCGAAGCCGTGATCGTCGTTTGAGTACTTTCTTCCTGGCCGTTATCGAGTATTGCAATCGATCACCACCTTTATGACGTTAATCTAACATCAAATATTTCATTTTCAAGATGAAACGCTATGAAGTAAAGTACACAAAGTTACTATACCAAAGAATCAAAATTTGTTCTTAAAAAGCTATGTACATAAAAACAAAAGTTTCAAAACCGGACAGACTGCCGGGTCGGTATGTAAAACGATCGTTTGGGAAGAGAGGATAGACTCCAGTTTCATTTGCGCATTTTTAATAAACGTGGTTCATCTCGTGTTGCTATACTATTCCTTTAGAAGAATTTTACCCCGTTTCTTATCACCTAGAATGTTCTGGGGGAATTAAAAACACTTTCCGTTCATTGTTAAGTATTCACGACAAGAAAGCTAAAATTAAAGTTAAAAGCCAATTTATTATTGTTGGTCTGATATAAAACGCTACAGGTGTCGGAAAACGCTTAGGTAATTTACCTCAGTTGACACAATCTTTCGATTCTGCAGTATCCTGCAATACCCAAATATAAAACCAGTGTGGCTGTCTGGAGAGGTGTTGGTATTTCGGACCAATGCCAGTGCCAAGCAGGGGGCGGAGGCGGATCCAGAAAGTATTTCGGGAAAGGGGAAATTTCAGTTCGAACCGCACCAGTCCCCAATTCGTTGAAAAGTGACCATTTTTATAATGTGGAGTTTCCTTGAAATAGCGTCCGTTCGGGCTTTTGAGAATACTACTAGTTTGTGATGTGATGCTTAATATGTGATTTTTGTTTCTGATTAAATGGAGTAAGAGTGATAGTCAAGGGAGTAATCAAGAAAGGCAAGTAGTTGTAGAAAACAGACATTAAAATAACGCGACATCATTGTTGCAGATAATATTTCAAAATCTTTCATTCCCTTCAGGTTAACAGTACAAAAAAGGGCTGTATTCTGCGGCCCCAGGCGAGAAATATATACTGCGTAAATAATTTTTGTATTATATATCGCATATAAAGGAAACTCTAAACCGTAACTGGATATAAGGTTAAGTTTGGGAGAAAGAAAATCTGGACGTTGCGCTTCACCCGCCAAGCCTCGAGAGTCGCAACGCAACGCAGGGCTCCCTGCCCCGAACCAGTGTTGCGAGCGCGGCGTGTGTGTGTTGCAGGCAAGGCGATCTGCCTGCTGACCAAGAGCGACCTGGCGGAGCGCTGCCCCGGCGCAGGCGACGTGCTGCACAACGTGCTGCAGCTGCTGGTGCGCGACGCGCAGTCGCAGCGCTGCCTGCCCTCCAGCCCAGTCACCCCCACGTCCGCGCGCCACCTGCCTTACCCGCACCCGCTGTCGCCGCACCACGTGGCCGGCTCGCACCCCAACACCTCCACGTGGGGCCTGGTGGACTTCCAGGCGCCCAACCTGGCTCACCTCGTGCACCAGGGCAACTCTGTCACGCTCAGCCCGGCGCCCTCCGTCGACAGCCAGTCAGGTGGGGTTCTTAATTTCAGCTGCTTGCATGTCTCCTAATTTCTTGGCTGAATATTTTCATGCCAATTTAATGTTAAATTCCCTTATTTAGCTGCCTGTTTCTGTGTAGAATTGCAGTTAATGGCATTGAATACATTACTCTTAAAAGCTTATGACAGTTGATTTTTAAAGTTCAGTGGTAAGAAGATCATAAGGTACTTTTTAGTCGACTTTTATAAATTTTTTTAACTTTCTTTGATGTACTCCTGGGGAAACTATTTTTTAACTTATATTGCTTTGTTTTACTTGCCTTTACATTCTAGAATTGATCTTTGATGAAACTGAAAAATAGCATTATTGACCTAATCATCGGTATATGCTTATGGAGAAATTGTTTTTTTTCCCTTGTCTTTGTACACTACTGAAAGTCAATATCTTTTCACAGGGAGCCCCCAGCATGCGGATCACAATGCTGGTTCTTATCACAGCAGTGGCAGCAATGGAAGCAACCAGTCTGATACTGATGAAGAGAGCTATCAAGAGAATGGAACAAATGGCTTGCAAGGCCACTCGAGTCCCCCGTCCACTCCAGGTGTCAATGCTGTGGCTCCTGCTTTGCCCCAGCCTCAGTCGCCCTCCAAGGAGCAGATGAATGTCCTGGGCAACAATAATTTCAGACCTGTTCGGGATTTCTTCCCATCAGACACACCTGAACCCAACACAAGTAAGTTTTTCACTAATATTCTAATTTAAAATAATAAAAACTGAAGAATTGAAAATAATTGTTTAGAATCACTAGTTTCAATGTATGAAATTACATATTATACTTGAATAGAAATCTGTAGATAATAATTATAAGAATGTCATGATACAGTTCTTTCACCACTTAGCACAGAACATTTTGATAATTCAACCTTCATAGTTTTAAACATTTAATTTTAAATTATTTATTTTGATTGACCCCTTTTTTGAAACAGATGGTCGTCTTCTATGGGATTTTCTTCAACAATTGCTGAATGATCCTACTCAGCGTTACACAAACTACATTGCTTGGAAGAACCGAGAAACTGGAGTGTTCAAGATTGTGGATCCTGCTGGTCTTGCTAAACTCTGGGGAATTCAGAAGAATCACCTATCCATGAACTATGACAAGATGTCTCGAGCACTTCGGTATTATTACCGAGTAAACATTCTTCGTAAAGTTCAAGGAGAACGGCATTGTTATCAGTGAGTAAATAATAATAATAAATAATAGTTAATTCTGCCCTCTATTTTAAATTATTTGAAATCATTGAGACCGGAAAGATAGCTAATGTGAGTTTAGAAACATTTCCATTTTGCTAGCAACAAAATTCTAACTTGAATCCATTTAGTAATTTCTCTTCATGTAGAAAAAATATTTTCACAAAAGACATCCAACAAAAATTGTGATCTTCCCTCTGAAAAGACATCATGTCTAATGCCCCTTAAGTAACTATTGGTTAATGGAACCAGGTATCTTTAATTTAATTACCCATTGTTCTTCTGAAACAACTAAATGTGTGTTAACATGCTGGTTTTGTGCTTCTAGGTTTTTACGCAATCCCAGTGAGCTGAAGAGTATTAAGAACATGTCATTGCTGCGCCAGCAAATGAGTCCTACCCGGCCTCCAGCATCATTGCAACAGCAACAACAGCAGCAGCATATTCAAGCCCCTCACCACCAATCATCAGCCTTGCCTCAGATAGCACACCCAGCTGCAGCTATGAGCATCAAGATTGAGCCTAAAGTAGAAAGTGAGAGTCCTGCTGATGATGATGTTCCCACTGACTTGAGCATGGAGCACCCCACCAACTTGAGTCCCACTGACTTGAGCATGGAACACCCCACTGACCTGAGTCCCACTCGACACTCCGGACTCACCGATTGCACTGCAGCCTTGCTGTGCCATGTGGTGAAAGTGAATGAAGGGTCAGAAGTGTCTGATGAGAAGTGACTATCAATGTGGCGTGCAACATGGAACATATAATGACAAGGCAATCTTGGTTTGCCGGATTTAAGTTATGTCTGTTTGCAGACTATAAACATTGGAGAGTGAGGGCCTGTGACCTGCAGATCACAAATGGGCTACAAAGATACACATATCTCATAGTCTGCAAATTCCTTGGGATGACCCAAATAAGACTATCTACCTGTTACAGAGTAAGCTATTTGTGGGAACTTATTGTTGTGCACAACTTGCGGTGAGAAACCATCCTGTTGTTTGCCAGCTCTGAAGCCCATATCAACACAATTGTAAGAGATGTATATTTATTAAATATTATATTAGATTTAATTCTTTACATAGCTGTACCGAAAGCAGAAAGATTTATTTTCAAAATCTGTCTAGTAGAAGCTACTGCACATAATTGTGTTACTTCTACCTGCTTTCCAATCCAGATTGTTGTTATTTAAGATACTTTGGCAGTTTATTCTGTAGCAACGATATTCTTTTCCTTTAGGAGTGTCTGCAATGTGATAAAATAAGACATGCAAAATCCCATGAACTTTTATGGTCGGGAATTGCATGCAAGTGTACTGTGCTCAACAATTCATGAGACCTGATTTGTTAAGTGCATGCATATTAAATCTTAATACTAGTAGACTACCAATCAAATGCAAGTCAGATTGGCACAGTAATGCTTTAGATTGGTTTGTTAAAGGAAGTGTTTGAAGTTTGCTCACCTTGAACAGCATTTAAGAACTAGTCCTTTTAGGCCTCTTCATATCCCCCACAATCTTATTTAAAGGTGCCTTGCCTTCAGAAAAGGCGTGGGAAGGGAGTGTGGAGACTTTCTGGAATCTCCAAGCTCCTTTTCAGACACTTATTGTAATCTCAGAGAGATCGTGCGAGATCTCCTTGGGAAATCTATTGTGCCAAGAATTTATGTTGTAACTTTTTCCTGAATGAAGAGTATTGGAATATGGCAAAGTGATTGCCATACACTCTCCATTTAACCATTCTTGAAGTGAAACAATATTCAGGGCAGAATGTTCACAAGTTATAGATGTTTTTTGTGATTCCTTTGTAGACATAATATTAAATATAGCTATGCACTTCCCACACAATATTTAAGTGTTTATCAGACAGCAGCGAAAGAAGGGTATCTTTCAACAATATTCTAATGAACAAAATTTTCTTAATAGTAAATTAAGTTAACCAGTGTAAGTTCAGTAAAGAATTCTAGCCACTGGTTCTTGTTCTGTGGAATCGTTTCAGAATCTATGCATGTATAAGAAACAGAATTCCGAAGTTGTGTATCATTAAATTTAAAATGTATTTCTGATACAAGTTGACAATTTCAGTGTTCGTAAAAGAAATTCATTTCAATTCTACCTTTTTTCCTGAAAAGGAAGATACAGGAATTTCGAAGTTCTGTACAAAATTGTATTTACCACCTAATCCTTGGTTCAATGAATAGTGGAGATCAATGGTTTTCACGTGAGAAATTACGTAGATGCTTTAAACAAATTCTCTCTATATTTATTAATGGTGCACAAGTTTACTTTTGGGAAAAGCAGTTTGAACTTGATTTGCCAATGTGTGGGAAACAAAAACAACCTTGTATCACTTCAAATATAGGTACAAATTTGTGGTGCATTGGGTTAAGTGTCACTAGGGTGATCAATGCAACACATGCTCACGTTCCCATTTACTAACAAATATGGGTTGAATACAGACAAGTTTATGAATCAGCCATGGTAAATCTTCGTGGTGTTAGATTCTTGTCTGTATTTTGTCACTCTGTGATCTCTAGTTGTATTATCCATTGCAATTGGTTTTTGTTACTGTGTTGTAAATATTTTTAATGTTATGTAGAAGTGATTTAACAGAGAAATTAGATTTTGTACATATTTTAAAATACCTACATATTATATTGTTAGATAATGTTTTGTGTTATAAAATACAAAGCTTATTTTAGGAAAAATTTTCAATCATGAGGGAAGGAATCCAATATATTGTATTGTACAGATTAATTTTAAGGGCAATATTGTTTTTAAGAGTTTTCTTAATTTTATGGCATACTTATATAGAGCACTCAGCTAAGAATTTTTTAATGGGTAAATTACTAAATGCGGGGTGCTTTGCAGCTTGCTTTACTTAGAAATATGCAAATACTATACATAGTTATCAATTTCTGTGAGATCCTCTTCTGAACCCATGACAAGGGATTATTTGGGATAATTGGCAGCTTGGTAGCATGGAATTATTTCGAACCAAGATTGTACAGTAGATTTCAAATTAGATGTCTCCGTAAAAAAAACAATGAATATAAAGATCTCATTACTTATGAACAGATTGTTTTTAAAAAACCCAGGAAGGTAATGTACAAATGGTAAAATGAAATTATATATAATTATTTTTGTGAGAGCTGTACATCAGCTGCAGCTTGGTAAGGTAAATATAAAGTGAATAATACTTAATCAGTAACGCAGCAGTTTTATTACAAAATATCCTCATTTTCCTTCCTTTATATTCCACCGCATAGAATTAACATGTATAAAGGCATTGTAGCAGAGATTCAGGACCAATAAGGACTATTGTGATCTTTAAATGTAAATTGTTCTTTCACAGAATATTTACACTAACATTTAAACTTCACAAAATTTAGGTCAACATAACATGTTTCATGTTGATTGGTCACCAGTTTGGAAGAAAATTACATCATCAGCAACTACTGCTGTTGTAGAACGGGAAACTCCGTTTTCATCTTTTACTTCACCATATGTCAGCCTGCCTTGGACATAAACTCGTTGACCTTTCTTCATGAAAGTATACACTGTATCTCGAAGATGTGGCTTGAAGACACACACACGGTGCCAATCAGTACGCTGCACAAACTCGCCTGAAAATCAAAAGTGGGGATAATCGAAATATTTCACATGCCAAGTATGAAAATTCAACACATATTTATATACTGAAAGGAGGATAAAGCATTTTGTGTACTAGTTTAATTCCTAAAGCCATATTTTAAGTTCTCACTAATAATCGTAAATTTTCATAATCTCACTTGTCAAAACTTTGTTTACATTTTTGAACACTAAACAGGTTGCAACTTTGAAACTTTTGTTAAATTTAACAAAGTATTTATAACAAAACAAAGAAAGAATTTTTTTTCTCATGTACAAAAGTATGAGTTACAAAGTAAACCAGACAAACTCATGTAATATCTACATTATCACGAGTTTTTGTCATAAAAAGTTAACAATAGAGTAAGATTATAGTACCAAGTAACAGTATTAAGTTACATGGCATCTTGTGTTTCAATGCAAAATAATAAAAATATAAATACAATAATGGTAATAATAATTATTGTAGCAAGTATTATAGTTGTTTTTTCCTGCTAACCCCTTGACATAAATGAAATTGCCCTTAGGACCATTGCAGATAAGTCAAAATAACATTAAATAGAAAAATCAATTCAGTTAATTTCAAAGAAGTTATTTAGAGATGTGCTATGTTTTGTCTTGCTTTGCAAGGAAATAATGCTGATGAATATGATAATGCCCCTATCATCACTTTGGTAGAGGTTGGTTAATTATGAAGATTTAATTAAAAGGTAGAAAAGATATAGTGCAAATTTTTGAAAATACATACCAGATTCGTACTTATAATTTGCATGCGTTGCAAGTGAGAAAATAACAACAGGATGCTCCTCTGTTCCACGTTTTTGTGGTTCTCCACCAACGCGGCCCAATAATGTAACAGAGTTCAATGCTTAAAAAGATGTAATTGAAGTTACACAAAGAGAAACCTTCAACATCAAAACTAAATTGAACCAAAGAAAACAAAAACATTCTACATCCATGAACTTCAAATTTTGAAAGGCAAACAAAGAGGTTTTAAGTTTTAAACAGGGATCACTTTTTTCTTAACATAAACAGTTGAAAACACCCTACAGACATTACAGAGGTTACGAACAACAAACTTTTATGCACAGAACACAACACTAATCTCTTAAGAACAGTTTCTTGCCTTTACTCAAAACCCAAGAAAATGTGACTCTGAAAGTTTTTGTTTGCTCCAATTCAATTATAACATGTCTCATCATAACAACATACTTTTTTCTACTCTAGATGGTTCTGATTGATATGATGATGCCTGGCATGCACTTGGAAGCATACGACATGATGCAAACCTTGCAGCAGACACTACCTATAAAATAAGAATTTGTCAGGACAATAAAAACTGGCAAACAGAAAACCATAACCTTACATATCTTATCAATAAAAATTGAAAGCATTACCCTTTGAAGTATCATACTTCTGCACTTATAATGCACAGACTCCAAAAATATTTATTTTACAGGAAAAGTGATGTGATCTGGAATGATAATTGCAAGGGTAATAGAGTATAAACAGCAACTTATAATAAATCAAAAATCGACAAGATAAATTAGACTTTCAGTTTATTATTACATAACATACATACGCGTGACAGTTCAAATCGTAGTGGTTTAATACGTATTTATTTCATTTAACAATTTTCACCACTTCAGCTTCCCTACAGTCGACTTCACACTTTAACACTTGGCCCGCAATGGTCCCGCTTGAACTACGTATTTTCATATTCTTATGTTTGTACAACCTGGAAAATAAATGTAGCCAACATATTCAAAATATTAACCTTCAAATAACACAATGTTAGAACTTTCGTTCATTATTGGTTTTGACGCTGCCAAAGGCTATTTTCATGCAGATATTTTACGTGAACTACTGCATCAATTGAAATTGTCTTAAATCCACTATCGTATATTTATTTCATTTAAATAATTGGTACACTTGTAATGAAACAAAGCTGCCAAAGTTCATTCCAAACTATAATTAGAATTACATTTAATTTTACCCATGTTTAGCACTAATGTTAATTTTCTCATTTCCCAGCACACATTTTCAGCTAAGATAATTATTCTGTATTTGTTTTTTTCGAAAACGTGAAGTTAATAAACAAAATATTTAATTGATGGAATATTGCACGCCAGCTGTTAGATGCAGGCTCTTCATAATTGTACAAAGTCATTCATACTTGACAATAATATTGTGGGAAAGGTATATGTAATGTTTGAACAAGTGGTTGAGTTCGTTGATATAGTATTGTGTTTTCAGAAGGAAAACGAGACATCTAAAATGAAGATATGCATCTTTACATACTTCAATCTGCCTAAAAATTGCGATTAGTAAGTCTTTTGAGTTGAATCAAAGTGTTTTTATTATATTTAAATGTTTTGATCCGTGTAAATCCATACCCTACCCGGTAACAATGAAGGAAATTCATCATAATAACACTTGGTGAATAGTGATTTGAAAGGTTAAGATACTTGGTGACTAAGTCAGGTCAATTTATATCTTGTAACATCAAATTAATGATGTTCTATTTTAAATTCATTCTTTATCTACGGTTTGAATTCTTCACTTTTGGAAATGCGTAACTACTTTTTATTGGAATGATTTTGTTCCCTCCACAGTTCGTGAATGGGTACATTTTTTGACGTTCGAGTTTTTTTCTTTAAAAAAATTGTATGGTGTTTATGCTGTCTGACAATTTGTAAAAGTCCTTGTAGACTTCTTGTAGCCGTATATTTTCGTCTCCAAGCCATTTTTTAGTTTAATACAATATTTTATATTCTCTATTTTAGACAAGACTTTCTTGGTAATATTAAAATAACTTAATTTTTTCTTCTGTAATCAAATGTGCTTTTAAGTCTTTAAATGAAGTTACTAAAGAAAAGGCGGAATTGTATAATATTGAAAGAGAAAAATGAAATTCATGAATCAATCGTAAACTTAATGAAAATAATTTAATGAAACTACACCTGTTTTATGTTTATTTTCTTCTTTCTTGGTCTAGTTTAAGAATTTCACAACAAAATATAATGAAAAGATGTAAAGTAATGCTATTTAGCAGTAGCTGTTAGCAGTTATAGTAAAACCTTCTCATTGCAGAAATTCAAGGGATCAATATTTCTTTTCATGAGATTCTGCATAATGCAAATGTATACTGTGGAATTTGCACTTGCCAGGATTGAGATTTATGTTCACTTTAGATTTTCACATTATGCATGATACGCATTGAGCATGTTTTACTGTACTTTAACATAAATTTCCTTTTACACGATCTCACAATTCTATTGTCAAAATTAGAATCTTATGGAATACGAGGAATTGCTTACAATTGGATAAAATCATACCTATCAGACAGAAAACAAATTGTAGTATAACCTTGCCAAAAAGACAACGAAATAAATAATCATCACTCCGAGCCAAGGGATGTGACATATGGGGTCCTGCAAGAATCCACACTAGGCCCAATTTTATTTCTTATATTTATAAATGACATGTCATCAATAATGAAAAACAACAAAACCGCACTTTTTGCTGATGACATTAATGTAATCAAAGAAAGAACAACCAAAACTTTGCAAGACAAAGCCAATTCAGCCATGGACAAGCTAGTACAATGGATCCGCGATACTAACTAATCCTTAACCAAGACAAAACAATCACAATACCGTTCCACAACTCCCACTCAACCCAACAATACTCACCAAATTTAACATTTGAAGGAAACAGCATCACAAAAGCATAGAAAACAAAATTTCTCAGAATCACCATACAATCCAACCTTAAATGGAACTCACACCTAGAAGATGTTGTTTCAAAATTGAGCAAACTTAATTTTGCTCTTAGAATAATAAGAAGAAACAGCACCATTGAGAGAGCAAGAACAATGTACTTTGCAAATGTGCATTCTACTCTCAAATATGGGATACTAATATGGAGCCAAGCACCAGAGGCTAAACAAACATTCACAATACAAAAGAGAATCATTTGAACAATAACAAATACAAAAGGAACAGAGTCCTGCAGACCTCATTTCAAAAAACTTAACATACTTCCACTGCCTTGTATTTTTATTTATGAAGTTATCATGTTTGTACAGAAAAATCTAGTGAGCAATGACACACTTTACAAATTTAACTCAAGCTTACACATAACACAAGGCAAGCATGTAACCTTCAACCAATGTGTAGAAGCACATTATATCAAAAGAGTAGGTTCTCTTCAGGTATACAATTCTTCAACAAATTACCAATACATCTGAGAAACATGAAAGGGTTGTACAACTGCCAGAAAAAACTCCAACACTTCCTTGGGGAAAAACTTTTTTATAGAATTCCGGAATACCTCAATGACTAACACATACAATGTGATTTCAGGTGCTGCCGTAGGACTAGGTGTAGAAATAGGAAAAAATCTGGCCATAATCTGCCTCCTCACTATTTCAAGATTTAATCAAGGAATATGCTAATGCTTTTAAATCATATGTAGCTGTTACCGTAATTGTTATGTACTGTTAGTATTACTATTATTATTATTTTATAGTAATGTTATCTATTATATTATTATTATTATTATTATTATTATTATTATCATCATTATCATTATCATAAGTGGTAGCAGTAAAATTACTATACCAAGAAAATGATATTTTGAAAAATGAAATGGTACAAATCTTGTAATGTTACAGTATTTTAAATTAAATTAAAGTAAGTTAAATGTTCAACTATTTGCTAATAAAAATAATTATCTACTATGTAATATCTTAATATATCTGTAACAAGTATTGTAGTATAATCTTTAGGCCAATGACTCCATCTTGATCAGGTTTTTTGTCCTGTGTCCCTGGTCCTTTGAGCAAATGATGAGATGGCCCCTTGTTTTACTTCTGGACAATAAAAATAAATGTATCGTCACTTGCTGCTCCCAAGAAGATGTATGCGATTGTACTCACTCTAAATATATCATATTTGACCCGTCATACATGATTGTAATTGTATATGTAACTCAATAAATATTATTATTATTATTATTATTATTATTATTATTATTATTATTATTTCCACTCATCCAATTTTAAAATTACACACTTAATTCTCTTCTGTAATCAAATGTGCTTTTTAAATTCTTTTAATGAAGTTATTAAAGCAAAGGGGAAGATTGTGTAATTTTGATGGAGAAAATTAAAATGGATGTGTTAACACTGAGCTTAATGAAAATAATTTAATGAAACTACACTTTTTTTTCTTTCTTTGAATTAGTTTCTGAATTTCACAAGAAAATGTAATAAGAGGATGTGAAGAAATCATATTTAGTAGTAGCTGTTAGCAGTTACTATAAAATGGGATGAATTTTCACTCATTGTTGTGTTGTGGATAAAGCAAAAAGTAAACAATTGCATCCAACTTATTTATATAAATGACTGTGACATTGTCAATGGTGTGGAGCAAAGAGTAAATAACTCTGCAGCATGTTAGCAGATTACTTCTTCTTTTTCTTGAAGTTCCGTCTCCATTACTGAAGGTTGGCGACCACTTCCTCAAAGTTTTCTGTGTTATGCTAGATGAAACAACTCAGGTGCACTTGAAATACTAGTCCATTTGCATATCTTTGCTAGCCAGGACATCTTTCTGTCGACCCTGAACTTTCCCCATTGTCAATCGCAAGAGTTCATATTTCTAGTTTCTAAGTAAATTACCAAAATGCAGTGTTTTTCTAAATTTAATCATTTGTAATATTTCTCGGCATACATAATTTCTTTCTAGTATGAAGTCATTATACACTTTGTCAGTCGGGAAAATTCTCAACTTTCTGATCACGCACATCTCGAAAGCCACCAGTCTATTAATTGATACTGTTTCAGTGTCCATGTTTCAGCACTGCATAAGAAAACTACCACTACATAACATTTTCTCACTCTCCGTCTGAGGGTAAAATTCTAAAATCTCTGCTACATAGACAATTCCTTGTTTTGTTGAATGTAGATTTTACTATTTGAATTCTCATTTTTATTGCTAAATCTGATGTCCATGAATCATTTAAAATTTGTCCCAAATATTTGTACTGAGAAACCTGTTCAATAGGTTGATCATTGATACACTGCTGAAATGGTCTTTTACCTTTCTTACTAATTAGCATGGACTTTGTTTTACGTACATTTATTTCTAATACATAATCTTAGCATGTTCAATTTATTCTGTTCATTATTTCTTGCAGATCTGCAGCAGTGTCTCCTAAGATTAATGTATTATTTTGTAACATATATTAGAAATAAGAATGTCATTCACTTTTACTCTCAGATTACAATCCTCTAGGGCATCTTTAAAAACATGTTCTGAATCCAGGTTAAATCTCAATCTCTAAGGCATCTTTAAAAACATGTTCTGAATCCAGGTTAAATCTCAATGGAGACAGAATACACCCATGCCTAACTCCTTTTTCACGACCATTTTTTCAGTAAAGTGCTGGTCAACTCACACTCATCAGCAGTTTGTCCCCAATATACTTCTTTATTATACTTATATCTTTTAAATCTAAACTAATAACTTTTAAAATATGCTTAAGCCTATTATGTTTCACATTATCAAATGTTTTTTTTAAAAATCTATAAAACATAAAAATACTGATCCAGACATTTCTGTACTAAAAGATTACTAATGGTATAAAAAAAGTTTTAAGTGAAATTTAACAATTCCTTGACATTACACAATAACAATATATTTAATCAATTTCACACATAACAGACATGAACTTGTGAAATAGAAATGTTTAATGTTTGTATTCAGTATTTGTATGAAATTGTTGAACTATTTAGTTATTTTCAAATAATTTTAAGCCAATGCCTGAAGAACGGTACAAACAAATGTCACAACATCATAATGATTAATTGTGAATTTTGTATAAAACCATTTGTTGTGAACAGTCTATAAACTTGGCTGTTAATCTCAAAATAAAATTGATTGTCTGCCTGTGATTCAAAATACCTGCCATTTAATAATCGCGTATGCTTTTTTAGATGATCAATAAAAAATTATTTAATTGTTTTTAT